CTCTCTCTCTCTATCTCTCTCTCTCTCTCAATCTCTCCCTCTCTCTCTCTTTCTGTTTCTGTGTGTGTGTGTGTGTGTGTGTGTGTGTGTGTGTGTATTTTGTTTTTTTCTATTTTAACTAGTGATGTTCGTGCATGGTATGGTGTAAGTTTTGATAATCCAATTAATACTAGCAAAAGGACCCCACGGAAATGGAACATTTATCACTGATTCAAAACCTTGTGCCGATTTTCCATTTATTTTACTGGATCCTTTTGCCACCTTCCATAATGTTTTCTATAATGTCTGTTGTGAATATTATAAAGGCTATGATTTTGAAGAGTTAGATGTGCTCTTCACAGCTTCATGCACAGCTGTTAATGTCATACTTGCCTTTCTCACTCCGCCTCAGAGTATAGGCATGGGTGGTTGGCAGGTGCTCTGGTTTGGTTTGCTTCTTCTTTCCTTATTAAAACCTATTGTCCTTCTCTCTCCTCCTCCTTTTTTGTGTTTGTTACTCTCTTGTAAAACCTCTGATATTCAGCAGTCATATGACCTTCCTTATTGTGTTTCGAGTTTTTTTAAACCCTTACTAAAACTAAAGAGTATAGGCCACGAACAAACACTTTCCACCTTCCTCTATCCTGGGCTAGTCTCTTGATGTTATTCCATGTCTTCCCACTTTTCTGTACATCAATTTCTGTGAGTGAGTGTATTATTTATGCCAAAATTAATGCTGTTTGGTGTCCTTAGGAAAATCTAATCTTTGACCTTTAATTACAGTGCAGCCTCTCTATAACGACATCGTCGGTACCAGAAAAAAATGTCGTTATAGAGAGAATGGTCGTTATAGAGAGGCAACTGAAAATTACTAATGATATATAAGAAAAAAATTGAGACCTGGGCACCATGTCGCTATACAGTGGATGTCGTTATATCGAAGGTCATCCTAGAGAGGCTGCACTGGATATTTTAAAAAATTTCCCTTTAACCTTTGACCTCCTTGACGTCTACCTTGCCGTTCTCTTCCCAGCAACACGTACCTATGGGCGGACGGTTCTTTAGGTTTAGACTTCGAGTTGGATTTGAACCCTGCTGACATCAGTCTCCCGTGCACGGTGTGGGAGAGACAGTCTGAGGTGGTCAACGCGATAGAGTGTTACAGTGATGACAGGTTCATGTGTGTTCAAAACCTGGTGCCACAGAAGTACCTCAACGGGAATTTGTCAGGTGAGTGGGAATAGTTTTTCTGTGATTCATTTACATTTATTGTTTAAAGTTTTAATCGTCTTTTCTTTCCCTCTGGATTTTTTGTTGTTGTCTCTCTGTCTTGCTTCTTCTCTTATCTATAATATGACCGTTATTGTGTCGATGTGCTTCTATTTACTCAAACTCAAACACAAACTCGAATAAAATGTGAATTAGTGGACTGGTTTTCAGAAGACAAAGAAAGTGGGAGGAGCCCTTAAGTTTCAACTTCGCAGCTCCAGCAACATCATTTACATATTATATTCATTTATATTTTTACATTTTATTGATCTCTGTGGGGGAAATTTGGGTTACATCATCAACAATAGCAACAACGGTATCCCAACAGCAACGACAAAAATAAAAGCAACAACTATAACACAACAACAACTAAAATAATAACAAGAAAAACAACAACAACAGCAACACAACAGTAATGCGACAACAACAACAAAAACAGCGACGACAACAATAACACACAGCAACAACAACAACGCAACAGCAACAAAAACAACAAAAACAACACCCCAACAACAACAGCAACAGCAACAACAACAGCAACAACAAAAGCAAACATAATTATAAAAGTATCATCCATCATCATCTCGCTGTAATCTTCCTCTCATAATCTGAACTCTTGTCTATCCAAACTTCCACAGATGCCATCTTCCCCCTGGAGCCTAGATCCGCCTGTCTGTCCATCTCAGCTGCCTCGCTGTCCCTCAACGACGTCGGCCTAGAGGTCTCGGATGACCGGATGTCCTGGACCTTGTGCATTCAGCTGTGTCGGGGAGATGGCCGGACGTACGCCGCGCTAATGGACGACAAGTGTCGTTGCCATGACAACGTCTACCCCAGCGGACTAGGTTTGTTGTTTAGCGTTTGGTTTTTAGAGATTGACAATTCAGGAGGTTGTCGTCACTACAATAGAAATGACAAAATTTTATGGACTTCTCAGTAGCCTACCTACTTTTTGGAGAAATTTGACATCAAGAGAAGCTATACGGGCTGACAGATGAACTGAGCAGGACGGCCCAGTTTATGACAGATACCAGACTCCAAGTGTGATGCGATCGAGAAGAAGAAGAAGAAGAAGAAGAAGAAGAAGACGTCAAAGATTTGGAGTTTCACAAGACTGCTCCTTAAGACTTTCAAAATTCTATTTGCTGAGTACAGATTTTTTTTACAAATTTGACTTGAAAGACTCCACCATGTTTGATGCTATCTTTTAGGAAATGATGTATCCTGACAGAATAAAAGCCATAGACTTGCATTACAATAATATCCTAGACTGTGCACTGTCATGGCTGACGGCAGCTTTTCACTGTCTATAAAAAAAACTTAGGCTCAAAGCATGCGCACCATGTAAGCCTTAATGAATGACAAAACACCTGTCTTGCTATAGTTGGATATACGTGCACACCACTTTCCACCCTTGACCTTCATTTGACTCCAAATTGATTCAATTGGTATGCTCAATGGTACACGGAAGTTATGTCACAGTACATGATGTAGGATATTATAGTACAAGTCTATGATAAGCGCAAAGAGTGGTCAATTGCAAAAGGAAAGAAAATGTGAGGCAGCGTGGTGGAATCGGGCTCTCGGCAATTTTTGGGCATGTAGAGTTATTGGTATCATCTTAAAGCTTGTTCACCTGTCTTTTTTGCGAATGAGTGAGATTGGGGTCACCTGTTTTCAAAGGTAAAATTAGTGAGAAAATGGCCGCCATAGATTAGTTATTTCTTTAGCTTAAGAGTCCTTGGTAACTGAAAATTAACTTTTTTGGTGCCTTTTATTGACGTTTTTCAGAAAAATCCACACCGAAATGGGTTCTTTAAAGGGCATGAAAGATGTTGAGCCAAAAAACGAAAATTTTATAAAAATTCACAATCCTGTCGCAAAATGCAAGTTTCTTCACTTTGATTATTTTGACGAGAGCCTGATTCCACTATATATGCTGCCTCACAAATGTGATCTCGTCAAATTAAATACACATTGATGTTTCAGAACGCTATTTATTAGAATTTCATAGAAAGTGCGAACCGTCTTGGGGTGTATTATTATATTTTTAAAAATGTATTATGCTATAGTGTTTTTGTGAGGTCTAATCTGCAAGCTCAACTGATTTATTTCCCCTGTTTTTTCCCTTGACCTTGCAGCCAAAGCTGATGTTATAATGAGCACATGCGGGTCTCCTTGTCCCGGCAATGGTTTTCAGTACTGCGGGAGTGCTGCGGACAGTCTAGTGATGGTTGTGAATGCAGGTGATCAATATATAGCCTATATATACATGCGCGATCTGCCTTGTATATAGTTTGGTAGTTGTTGTACTAAAAGGTGTTGCATTGTTGTTGTTGATGTTGTCGTCATCATCATCATCATCATCATCATCATCATCATCATCATCATCATCATCATCATCATCATCATTGTTTACAGCTCAAAGATAAAAAAAGGGCACAAAATTGGTGGAGACTAGAATTTTAAAATTTATAATGCTGTTATTATCATCATCATCATTATCATCATCATCATTATCATCATGTACTATAAAAGATTTCAAAGAATGCATCTTCAAAGATGAATCTGCTAAAAGTAAATTACATCAAAGCAGTCTTTGTAGACATCTTAGACTAATTATTGCACTTAAAGACTGCCAGACGCATCTTGTCTGAAAAAGAAAAAGATTATTAACCTGTTTTAAGGAAGGATTCTAAAAAGCGATGCGATAGTTTCATCAGCAAGATCAGAAAGATGGACTATCGTATATGGAACCAAAAAAATTTTAGAAGTTGAACACGCCTTTCAGTATTGTAAAGAGAGTCAGTAGTAGATGGGATTTTCGCAATAAATTATCATCCACCTCCACATAACTAAGACACGTGGTTGACAAGTCTCGTAAATCACAAATAAGTGACAATAGTTCAAAAACTCTGCATTGCTGATTCGAGCCAGTCATCCACACCATAGCCCTCAACTGTACCTACTATGTACTAAGCATCCGTTTTACCTCCCTGCTCAAAGTCAAAGCAGGGATTTTGTGGGTGATTAGTGGGTGCTTTAATGTGGTTTGCTCCTTCTTTCCTATCCAACATCTATCATCCTGATCTGTCCTCCTTTTTTGTGTCTGTTACTCTCTTGGAATACTTCTAATCTTATTGTGCTGCAAGCACCGTAAAACTCTGACTTAAACTAAAAAGCAAGGATTTTGTCAAGTGCTGTTCTCTATATTTTATTGTTGTCTTATCAAGGAAAACAGATATTTAGATATATAACTGTAACTGATGTTGTGTTTATTTTATCTAAGCTCATGTAATATCATTCTATCATCCCAAGCAGGTACAGAGAAAGTGTCTTAAATGGTTATCTTAACAACAAGATCAATTTATCGATAAAACTGCTTTTCTTTTGTCTCCTGAGCTGAAGAAAAATTTAATAATAATAATATTCATTTATAATAGGCCTATCAGGTCATGCAAATGAAAATATCCACAATTAATAATCATGTAAACAAGAGCAGGGATATAAACACATGTAAAAATAACGTAGACACATAGTATAGCTACAATTCTTCATTTCAGCATCTGAATGGTTTTTTTTTCTTTTCTACTATTCTAGGAGCGTATAGTGAAAATGCCTTCAGCTGTGAAGAGCTCTTCAATCATGGAGTTCGTGTCAGTGGCCAGACATATCTGATAGAGGACGAGACTTCACAATCTGGAGCTGTCTACACAACCTGCTATGGAACTGGTGAGTGGGGGGGGGGGGAGGGGGGGGAGGGGTGGGGGAAGGAGGTGGAGGGGTATATGGGGAAAGGAGGGTTAGGGGTATGTTGGGGAAGGAGGGGAGGGGGAAGGGAAAGGAGAGGTTAGAAGAGGGAAAGCAGGAGGAGAGGGTGGAGTAAGGTGAGGGAGGGGGCTGGGGATAAAGGAGGGGGGGTGAGGGTGGAGGTAAGGAGGGGGTTTGGGGGGGGGGAGAGAGAGGGGGGTTGGGGTAGGAAAGGAGGGGGAGGTGGAGGCCTATATGATGGAAAGGAGGCGGCGTTGGAGGTGGAAAGGAGGGGGTGAGGTATGTGGAAAAAGAGGGAGATGAGAGGGGTGGGGGTAAAGGCGTTGTAATGTATGCGTGTTTGTCTATTTAATCCATGATATGGAGTTTATGTACTGGCTTTTGTGTTTGGTATAATGGCTAAACTCTTGCCTTTGTTACACGCAGAAGGCCTTACTTCGATTCCCCAGTGGGACAGACCATGTATTACTAACTTTACAACAACAGGAATTATCACCACGAACTGCAACAGCAACAACAACAACTACATCAAGAATAAATTCATCATCATCAAAAACATCAACAACAACTTCAACAACACCAACAAAAACAGCAACAAACAAACATCTGATTTGAAAAGACGACGAGATATTTGCTATTGATTTAGTTGGGGTCGCCTAATGATAGCGGTAATAATCAAATTAGCATGTTTGTTTCTTCAATCAACGTTTTTCTGTAAAATCGACTGAAGGATGTGTTTTTAACACTTTGTGGTCACTCTGCGCAATAATGCGCTGGTGAAAATTATCCATTTTGGTCCACCTGACGCAGTTCTGAGACTGGCCCGAGAAGTCCGTTACAGTGGCTTTCCAGGCTGAGAGACCAGATGGGGTATTTTGTACTGCTGGCTGTGTGACTGCAAAGTGTTTAATATGACATGCAAGGTGTTCAACCCATAGACAACCAACAAATTCAAAAGAGAGAAAAAGATAGACGAAAATGAACAACAGGGGGAAAAATGCCAGTTTCTTCAATTTCAATATTTTGACGAGACCCTGATTTCACCATGATGCATAACATACGTGAGTCATAGAGTTGAAATCAGCCACTCGTCTTTACTTAACTGTACTTTTATCTGCCACTTATACCCTTTTGGGTGTCGCGGGAAGAAAGAGACGTCTCTCTGTCACCAGCCGGAGAGCTTGGGTCAGGGGGATGCCGTGAGTTGTTAATATGTCCCTGACTCCATCTATCCAGGTCTTTCTTGGTCGCCCTCTAGCCTTGTTGCCATCAAAGTTTTTTATGTAGGCACGTTGTGCTGGGTGGTGTGTTGGTAATCGCATGAGGTGTCCAAATCAATTGATTCTTTAGTGTTGGAAGTGATGCATGACATCTCGGATTACTGTGTTTCTAATTTTGTCTCGCCTGGTCTTGTTTACTGCTTTTCTAAGGCATGGCATTTCTCATGTAATTCTTTGCTCTAATGTCTGCCACTCGTCCAAATTATGAAATCGATAAAAAACCAGCATTTTCTTGCTTGTTTAGCTATTTTTATCGAATTTTTGTTTTTAGGTCCATCACTTTTTAGTCTCATTTAAAAACACTTTTCTATGTGGATTTTACTGACATTTGTTGCTTAAAGGCATAACGAATGTAATGTTGCAGTTTCCAAGCACTTTCAAGCTTTGAAAGGCACCTAACTTTGGCGGCCATTTTCTCAATAAATTTACCTCTGAAATCAGACATCCCCCACCTCCTTCGATTGAAAATATCTCAGCTTCTATCAAATGAGTAGGCCTATTTTTTTTTCATTGAAAGTAAGACAAACGAACACGCTTTAAGATCATACCAATAACTTCATAATATATCCAAAAAATTGACGAGCGCCTGATTCCACTGCATCATGACACGACATATTCCTTCGTTTTCAGACACAACTCCCAATCCCATCAGCCCTGAATGGATCCGCTGGGGTAACAGCAGCCTGAACTACCGCTTCCTGGAACAGCCCAGGTCTGGATTCAACAAAGGTGACCTGCTGTCGGGGTGTTGGTCGGAGTTTGCCGGTGCTTTCCCTTTGTCCATCGTGGATCCCGGGGAACGTGACTTTATCACATCGGTGCTTGCAGGTGGGGGTTCTTCTTTTGTTTGTTGGTTTGTTTGTTTCTTTGTTTGTTTGGTTGGTTGTTTGGTTGGTTGGTTGGTAGGTTGGTTGGTTGGTTGGTGGTTTGGTTGTTTGATTGATTGATTGATTGATTGATAGATTGATTGATCAACTGCTGTTGAAACTTTACGTTGGGTGAATATGAGATGTGAAGACATTGCTTGAGAGATCAATTATAACTGTGCCAATTGCCCTATAATGATAATAGTGATGATGATAATGATGATGATGATGATGATGATGATGATGATGATGATGATGATGATGATGATGATGATGATGACAGTGATTGTTTGTTTGGGTGGTTGGTTGGTTGTTGGTTGGTTGTTTGATTGCCGTTGAAAGTGTGTGTTGGGCAAAAATGAGATGAGATGTTGCTAAATCGAGAGATTATAATAACTGTGCCAACAACATGATAATGATAATAAAAATGATTACCATAATGATGATGTGATGATGATGATGGTAGTAGTAGTCATACTTACACTTATAATGGCATAAGTAACAATAACAATATTGATAATAATCGTAATCATAGTCATTAATATGTTTCTTCTTCTCCTTCTTCTTTTTCTCATTATTATTATTTGTTTCATTAGGCCTATTATTATTTTCATTATTATTATTATTATTTTTATAATTATTATTGTCATTATCAGTTCTATTTTTGTTATTATTATTATCATCATTATTATTATGATGATTGTTATTATTATTACTATTATTATTATTGTATTATTATTATTATTATTATTATTATTATTATAGTTGTTGTTGTTGTTATTTTTGTTGTTACTATCATCATCATCTCGCACAATTTGCCGGGATCATTTAGAAATAAACTGCTTCTCCCCCCCCCCCCCCCCCCCCGGGGGGCAGTACCACTGACTGAAGTGTCTTTAGGCCATTCCCAAAAGGGGGACATTTCTCGTTCAAGCATAGTAGAATAGTAAATGGGCTGACTCATGTCATGCTTTTAACTGTGCCTGATCTACAACAGGGAACTGCTGCTTTTTCTTTCCTGATCTTTTCTATTGTCATTTTCCTCTACTTCTTTTGTATGTTTGTCACTCTCTTGTGACCTGCTTTTTTGGGGTACCTTGATAGTCGAAGCAGACCTTGTGTGTTGAAGCTAGAGAGGTGAGCAGTCTAAGTCTGATTCCCTGTAAAGACTTCTCTGTTGACACCCACCCCTTGGCGCTCATATGACCTAATGCAGTTGCGAGCACATTAAAACCCTCTACTATAAAAAAAATAAATAAACTGCTTCTGTTGCTCCGACAGCCGATGCCACTCTGCGGCAGAATGAACTGTGGGCTATCGGGGCCGTAGACGTCGGGCAGATGGGGAAAAAGAGCTGGATGCACCCAGATCTGAGGTGAGAGAAATAGGTTGTGCACTACGCTGTGCGATAATAGATAATATATATAGCATTTATAGTATAGCACAAATTTCCGCACCCCCCGTGGCGATGCCACGGACTGTATTGTCTTTAGGCCATTCCCAAAGGGGGGGGGGGACATTTCTCGTTCAAGCACAGTAGAATTGTAAAAGGGCTGATTCATCCTGTCACGCTCATAACTGTGCTTGATCTGCAACAGGGAACTGCTGCTTTTTCTTTCCTTATGTTTACTATTGTCATTTTCCTCTACTTCTTTTGTATGTTTGTCACTCTCTTGTGACCCGCTATGTCTGGGGTGCCTTGATTATCAATGCAGACCTTGTGCTGTTGAAGCTAGAGAGGTGAGCATAGTAAGTCTGATTCCCTGTAAAGACTTCTCTGTTGACACCCACCCCTTGGCGCTCATGTGACCTTATGCAGTTGCGAGCGCCGTAAAACCCTCTACTAAAAAACAAAACAAAAACAAACAAATTTCCGCTCAAAAGCAAGCTCTATGCACTTCGCAATCTCTATATCATTACCATCTTGGGACTCTCTTTAGCTAAATTGACCTTCTGCAAAGATGAAAAGAGCTATACATTATTACCAAAGCAGACCTGATAGCATTCTAAAACAATCTCAACTTCCTGGAATGCATACAGTGCATGCTTCCATTTTTATAGGCTGTTAAAAATGCTGGCATACTGATAAGATCTTTTGCTGTCTATGGCTGGATACCCATTTCCGCACCTGCATGAAGTGAGAAAAAAATTGTGAAAAGTGCCTTTCCCAAGGACGCAACGTCAGGCCGGAAGCTTGAGCCCCTGGACCCACAACCTATTGATTATGGGTCCCGTTGCCTCACCACTAGACTACTAACGCCAATGGTGCTTATCAATTTTTGGGTATAAAGAGTTATTGATATCATCTTAAAGCTTGTTCATTTGTATTGCTTTTGATGAAAAGAATACTCAATCTGTCGAGTTATTTGCATTTATTAAAGACGGTGGGGTTGGTGTGGTAGTAGAAGTAAAAGTAGCGAGAAAATGGTCGTCAATGTTTGGTTGGCCTGTGAAGCTTGAAAGTCCTTGAAAACTGCATATTTGTAGGCCTATCTTTTTATGTACCAGGGATCACCTTTTTTTCCTGTAAAATCCATGCAGAAAATGTGTTTTTAAATGAACATAAAGTTTGTTGAGAAAAGTAAATAAACAAATGAATAAATAACTAAAGAAAGAAAGAAAGAAAGAAATACCTAAATAAAAAAGATAAGGACGGGGGAACGGGTGAATAAAGGCAATTTCTCCGATTTCATTATTTTGCCAAACCCCTGAATCCACCGTGAAGTGACACATTTATTTATTCATTAATATATTTGTGTCATAACGGGGTGTTATCAGGCGCTCGTCAATGTTGGTGCGTGTGGAGTTATTGGTATCATCATAATGATTGTTCATATGTCTTTCTTTTGATGATAAAAACTACCCATCTACCTTGTAGAGAAGTCAAGATATTCGAGTTTGAAGGAGATGGGGTCGGCAGCTTTCAGAGGTAGAATAAGGGAGAAAATGGCCGCCAAAATTTGTTTACTTCCATAGCTTAAATTGAGAGTCCATTGAAAGTGAAATTTTACATTTTTTTGTGCTTTTGATCCCTGATTTTCAGTAAAATCTTCACAGAATGTGTTTTTGAAAGGACGATAAAGGGGTTTAGCCAAAAATCAAAAGTTTGATAAAAATTGCCAAACTGGTGGGAATAGCCAGTTTCTTCAATTTCACTATTTTGACGAGCGCCTGATTTCACCACGCTGCCTCACATTTATTTTATTTTTTTGGGGGGTTGGGATCTTTTGCAGGATATGGGAGAGAAAACTCTACCCCGTGTTCCCGGTCTGTCTATCAATCCCGAGCCTGGATGTCAACGAGACTGGCGTGCCTTTTGAGGTGGCGTTCACAAGATGTCAATACGACAACGTGAGTCTCATTTGCAAGACAACCACAAGTGAGTGCTGTTGGTGGGCGATAGAAATAACGTATTATGTTCATCAGTTGTGATTCATTGTACGTGTTTGTGTTAAAAAGTACATTTTTTTCGTCTGGAAAAAAGATCATATTTCGTGTATTAACAAGTACTTTTAATGTTAGGAAAAAAGAGAACATGTTTAGTGTGTTAACAAGTACTTTTAATGTGAGGAAAAAAGATCATATTTCGTGTATTAACAAGTACTTTTAATGTGAGGAAAAAAGATCATATTTCGTGTATTAACAAGTACTTTTAATGTGAGGAAAAAAGATCATATTTCGTGTATTAACAGGTACTTTTAATGTGAGGAAAAAAGATCATATTTCGTGTATTAACAAGTACTTTTAATGTGAGGAAAAAAGATCATATTTCGTGTATTAACAAGTACTTTTAATGTGAGGAAAAAAAGATCATATTTCGTGTATTAACAGGTACTTTTAATGTGAGGAAAAAAGATCATATTTCGTGTATTAACAAGTACTTTTAATGTGAGGAAAAAAAGATCATATTTCGTGTATTAACAAGTACTTTTAATGTTAGGAAAAAAGAGAACATGTTTAGTGTGTTAACAAGTACTTTTAATGTTAGGAAAAAAGATCATATTTCGTGTATTAACAAGTACTTTTAATGTTAGGAAAAAAGAGAACATGTTTAGTGTGTTAACAAGTACTTTTAATGTGAGGAAAAAAGATCATATTTCGTGTATTAACAAGTACTTTTAATGTGAGGAAAAAAAGATCATATTTCGTGTATTAACAGGTACTTTTAATGTGAGGAAAAAAGATCATATTTCGTGTATTAACAAGTACTTTTAATGTGAGGAAAAAAAGATCATATTTCGTGTATTAACAAGTACTTTTAATGTGAGGAAAAAAAAAACCTGTTTCATGTGTTTACATGTATTATTGTGATAGAAAGTAAAAACTCTACCCCCCCCCCCCCCCCCCCAAAAAAAAAACCCACCCCCCAAAAAAACCCCAAAGAAAAACAAAACTAAACAGCATAAAAACACCACTTTCTGTTTCGATTTCCCAGATTTCCAAGGCTGCCTGGACCCGCCCACACAAGACATCTCCCTGTCCTTCCTGAATGACCCAGATATGTCCGTGCTGCTCTGCAAAGAGCTCTGCAGTGGTAACGGGTCCACGTATGCCGCCATTTCCCGGGGTGATTGTTTCTGCACTGACCAGATGCCAGTCCAAGCCACGATCCACGACCCGAATAACTGCAAAACATCATGCTACGGCTTCAAAAGCCAATACTGTGGTGGATATGGGGCTGCCTTGTGGTATAGCTTAGGTAGGTTTTAACTCAATCATCATCATCATCATCAAGTGCCAGATCTGCGACAGACATCGCCGATCTTGGTCCTCCATTCATTTCTTTACTCAGATGCTCTTAAAAAGCTACGTTTCCCTGATCTTTACCCGTTACCAATTTGTTTAGGTTCCCAAAGTAGGTTGCTCTGGGCCTACTCCTGCCTCGATTGCCTTCATTTTTGCTAGTGAGAGCTAGATGTTCAAGACCTTTATATCTATTCAGGTGTCCCAAAAACGGCATTTGTCGTTTCCTGATTTTTATACTTTTTAAAAAATTTACTTACTTTTTTCTACAGAAAAGTACTCTCCTCATGAGTACGCAGCTACCTGCCAACTTTTGTATGACTCTGGGATCTACATTGCTTCCGACTACCGCTTGCTTAATGGCATAGAGTTCTGTGGTGAGTATTTTTTTCACACCCTCCTCAACACAGTTTAGGTTATAATCTAAGAGGCGGGCTTTTTTATCCCTGAAAGCCAGGGTTAATCCCCAAGTAGGATTTGAACTCCCGTTTTCTGTATGTCAGGGCAAAAGTCGTACCCATGGCACAACAGAAGCTGATGTTGTTGTTGTTGTTAGCGATCCAGTAGCATCTGAGCGTTAACTCTTCTGCATGATGCCATTCGGTAATAGCTGCATGTCTGTTCTAATTGTTGTCTTGAGGAGTAGAAGCAGTTAGATGTGTGGGGTAGCTTGGGAAGAAAACATTCCCTCAGATCGGTTAGTTTTCTACAGAAGAACAGATGATGTTCCACTGTCTCTGATGGGTAGTCACATAGTGGGCAGGCAGCAGACTGCTTTATTCCAATTTGGTTGAGATGTTGATTGAGTGGTAGATGTTGAGTTTTCTAAGTTGGAAGATTATGGATTGATCTCCCCTCCTCAAGCTGATATGTAGTGAAAACCCGCGTCTGTGGTTAAATGTGGGAACCAAACCCCAGTCTTCTGTGTGCGATGGCTAAGCATCTACCTAACCACCATATACTAACGGTCATGTCATTACTCTGCTTCACAATTTTGAATTGAGTGAACGTCCAAAAATATGAGAGGTGAATCATTTTGAAAGGAAACGTTTCTTCATCTTTTTTCTCTTTGATCAAAAACTAAGTTTCCTTTCAACACTGTTTTAAAACAAATTAGTGAGAAGTCTTTATTAAAGTGTGGATCCCACAAACTAGTTGAAGGATGGAATGGAATAACGGTTATGATTTTGTTACAATACGGGGTATGAAGCAAACAAATTTATGTTATGATAAAGCTTAAAATCTTTCAATAGTAGATGGACCAACTGATTCGTTACAGCTAAGAAAATTGTTCAATAACGTATAATGAGTATGAAGAATTTCTTGTATTGTTTGACACATTATCATTAATTGATTTTGGATTTTATTTTTTCATTTAACAAACATCCCCACACTTCCTTCTTTCTCTGTGTCTCTCTGTCTCTCTCTTTGTCTCTCTCTCTCTCTCTCTCTC